TGTTTAAAAAAAAAGTTACTTTGCTATAGTATAATTGAAACAAGATCTAGTCTATTAGAAGAAAATAAGTAGCTATACAACAAGCTTTTGAATAATATACAAAAAATGCAAAATGATTTTCTCTATTATTTATGATTTTTAATTTGCCCACTTAAGTCCTACGTAAGAGCTAATGAAAAAGCGGTGAGGAAATCTGTAAAGTGAGGTCCAGTTTCTGGCCTATTTGCAGAGAAAATAGCACCTCCATTCTAGAGCATTAATGTGAGGCTACATCATGAGCAGGACTTGCTAAGATAGTGTGTGCAGGCAGTAGAAGTCGCAGAAAGGAAGTTTCTGGCTTGGGCCACTTGTCCAAATGGTGAAGAAAGTTAGTGTGTTGGTCCTACTGTACTTAAGTGTTCTTTGGAAACGCTTCTTATAGTGTTTTTCCCACCGTCCAAAAAATGAAACACAAAGGTCTCTTTATAGCTTTTAAAATAAGTTTTTCATTCCACTACATAGGCAGTAATGATTTTTGTGTGTACAACTGGGGGAGATTAAGCTTAGTTTCTTAGAAAACTGGCTTTGTACAGTATTGCAGGACTTGTTTCCATTTAATTTCTTCTCCCAACAATAACTTTCGAGCCCGTTGACCAGTTTAAACTGAATTTGTTAGAGGCGTGAGCTCTGACGCGTGAAGTTTTGACAAATCTATTAATGCTATTAATACTACCCCTGAGTTCAGTAACCACTGTGGACTTGTCTTAGCAAGGGATGCGCACGGGCGATACATATTTATGATCCTGGGAAGGACATTTATCAGGGTTCATTCCTAAGTCAACACTTCTGCCTTTTTTGGCTTTCTATTTTCTAATGAGGTATAAATCCCAAATGAAGCTTTTCCCATAGTTGTGAGTATCTATTGCCAATGTGGGTTATCTTCGTAGTATGAAGCAAGCTGTTACTTCAGTTCTGGGGTAATTCAGTAAAAAAGTTGAGTCCATCTGAAGACTTGAATCCATACATGCTTCATTAGTTATTGCTCTCAGAATTGTTTTATTGCTGTTTTTTGTTGTCCAATTGCTCTTCAAAGAGGTTTTAGTCATTAAACTGTTTACTAGTTACATACTGCGTATATACACTGCCCTAGTCAAAATGTTTGGCAGCTGGCTACTCTTCAGAGAAGTGTCTGGGAGAAGCAGAAGGGCCTCTCTGTTTAGTTTTGTTTACTGGTTCATTTAAGAACTCCTGCAAAACATCTTTGACAGTTTACAAATTACAGATTTAACAAATTAAACTCTTTCTTGTGTATATGGCAATGAATATTAATTACAAAAGCAGATGTTGGTGAGAAGAAAACATTGGTCTTTTTTTTAAAGGTATATTCAAGATGCACAAGCTTTACCTTGCTTTCATTTTGCTTATGTTGAAAGATTTTTATTAAACTAAATTCCTCTTCATTACCTTTAACAAAAAACCCACAGCAGCTTGAAAGACAGTCACCTGCTATTGTACAAAGATTTTTAGAAAACAGATTATATTCTCTGATTTTCTGTGTGGGAAGTGTGTCCTATTTTCATCCAAAACCTTTTGGGAGGGAGGTACTATGGATTTTTGTTGTTTCAAATGACTCCATTAAAGTATCTTAATGTGAACTGCATTTATGGACCTTAAGATGGGTGAGAAAGTGATTAGATGTAAGTAGGTGTATGAGAGTGAAAGAATGTAGCAATAGTCCTATAAGAAATGATTTTTTTCTTGAAGGCATATTTGGGTAATTCCTAGAGTTAGAAGAAAAATATTTGATTTTTTTGCAGATATTTTAATCAAAACAGAAGACAGAAGTTCTCACTTCAAAATTTTATTTTTGCTATAGCAATGCATGGTATTTACTGAGGATCGGCTTTGCCAGTACTTTAAAAGTGTTCAGGGGGTTAGGGTTCTGTGCATGACGATTTTGAAGACAAAAGTTATTTCATCTGGAGAGCTTTATATCAATCTATTTTATCAGGATGCGTGTCCCACAGGTACATTCATATGGAGAAACTAACATAAAATGTGGTGGTGTTTTGGGTTTGCAAGCACTGCCTTGGTTTTGGAGGGGTGGTGGTTAGGCCTACTAATTTTGTTAGTATCAGTTCCAATGGAATTATTCAGTGTAGCAATTCTTTTTTTTTAAGATACGTTCAGATCCTATCAGATTTCTACTCCTTGGATACTAAAGGACAACACAAAATTAAAAGAGAATTATGCTACTCACATAAGTCGTGTAAATTGGCAGAGAATGATAATATTAGAGATGAGCCTGGCTTTTGTACCTAGGGACTATTTTGACCAATTCCTGACCCTCAGAAATATTTATTGCCCTTAAGAAGCTGTTCTGTCTGTGACTATGTGGTTTCCTGAGATACAACCTTTGCAGGCTCCCTCCCCAATGCTTACAACTGTCAGTGTGCTTCCTTTGCTCCTTAGGATTTTCGCTTTCTCTTCCATAGCAGGTATGACACCTCTTCCCAAATCAGTGCAGCATATCATTGGTGTTTATGATACAATTACTGCATTATACAGATTTCTCCATAGTCAAAAAGGCTGATGTTAATTCAAGGGTGCACAACTTTGATTGAAACTACCTTTTAAGGTAGCCAGGGTGCTTCTGTTTGTCTCCTTTATTCTGTCATTTTGCCATTTACCCTGCATATGTCTTCTGTGCATTTTTTTGTTGTTGGTGGTAATGCCTGCTACAAACTCTGTTTTAGTCCATTCTTGTATCAGCAGGATGAGTCTCTCCTCAATGTTCTCTTTCATTGTCACAAATTTCAGCTTGTAAAAGAAAATTTCATCAGAATGGAAAAAAAGTATCCCGGTACTGCCCTCCTTAAAATAACACAGAATGATGGGAGTGGTAAAAATACTGTGAGAAGATAAAGGTAGCTAAACGCCTATCAAAGGAAGCCAAACCAAGCAAACTACAAAGCTCTTTAAAAATGTATGATGCTTCCATTTAAGAAAACAAACAAAACTGAATAAATTAGCTAGATAATGCTTGTGCTGAGTACCGTAATTTCTAACTATAGCCTTATTCTCTTCCCTTTCATCCTTTCTTTAGGGACAAGAGCTGGTTTGTTTTATGGTTTTTCTAATGCATATAATATGTTGTGGGTACTACTGAAGTTTGAATTATATAGATGTAATTACAAAAATTATTCTTACAGATAGGAAAAACAGGCTCACTACATTTTCCAGACTATTTCACTATTATTTTTAATGAAAATCATATTTGATGTTTGTCTCCAGGAAAGAGATAATTGAAGTATCATGCTTAGGGGAGGCTTGTATTTTCAGCTGAAGTAGCAAGGCTGAAGCTTTAATAATAAGAAATGTTATAAATCAGGGCCTCTAGTTGTAGATACCTTGATTCCAAAAGCTTTGCTCTGGAGACTGTCTGCTGAGAATAGGTATTAGGATGAGTCATGGAGAGAAACAGTTGCGAAAATGGATGATAAATCATTCAGGAAATACTGTTTTGAAGTGGATTTAGAACTGGATATGAAGCCAGTGCAGAACATGAAGCAAGAATGATCCTATTTGTCTCTTACCTAAGTGCATATTAAGTGTGTGTTTTAAACTACTGGGAGTTTCCATATAGACTTTGGATTTTGTTCCATATTCAAGATACTTTGCTAAAATAGCATGAGGAGTTAGTAAGGAATAGTTTTTTTGGGAGAACATGAGAATGGCTGTATTTCCACCGACGAATGATCCATCTAGCCAAGCATCCCCTCGCTACAGCAATGTCTGGTAGCATGTGTCTAAGAAAGAGTATTGGGACTCATTGTTTGTGCCTTTCACCAAAAATTTTGTGAAAACTTTCAAATCTTCAGCAGTTTGTGGATGAAGAAATTCCTGACACAGAGATGATGTCTTTTTGTTTAAGATACGTTCTTAAGAACTCTCTTAAGAGCTATCAATTATTTTTTCATCTTTAACTTCTCCAGTGGCTTTCTGAACCCATACAAACTTTTAGCATCAATGTATACATCTACTGCTGTATCTTATGGGAAAGGTATCTGAAAACACACTCAGCAGGTACCCATTTTGTCTCCTGCTGTCTAGACATACCCTCGTAGGTAAGGCCGACTAGAACTCCAGTTACAGTCCTATAGTGGTTGTTCATGCGTTCCTTTCTGCCACATCTATACCTCTTGCAATCAGTGGGTTCTCGTTTATTCCCTTCCCCCACCTTTATTATTTAGTGGTTAGCTTAATACTTCATCAGTACAGACTCCATTATTATCTTTCATTATTATGTAACTTGCTCTTTAACAAATTGTTGATATTTGAAGTCCTAGATAATATTTCAGACCGTACGGAAGTAGTTATAGATGGTACCACTTGTGTATAAACTGCCACTGACACATCAGCTCTGTTCTGCCTACCTAGAAAGGAAACAAACTTCAGTAATCAAACCAGAAACCATCTTTTTCCCTTCTTCAACACTTTCTTGATAACTCAGTCAAGAAATGAAGCGGAAAGGGTCACTTGAATGTGAGTTCCGAGGGAGAAGGAAACAGTAATGTTCTAGCAATGTGAAAATGAGAAGTCAAAATGAGTGGGATGAAGCTTGTTTCGTATGTCGTGTTTTTTCATTTATGTATCAGATAAGCTATCAAAACAAGAATTTTTTTTTTTTCCTTTTTTTAACTTAGTGTACTATGTCTGAATGCTGATATCACACACGAGTTTTTACAGGATATATGTTAGATAGACTCCTTGTCTCAGGGAATTTATTGTATAATGAAACTGGCACAACGTGAATGTCTTCAATTCAGCTACAGAAGATAAAGAAAAAATAAGTGTAATAAAGATTTGACTGTAACGGTCAAATCCTAAGGTGCAAGGAAGTGCACACTTTTCTCTCTCTATTCTTCAAAAAGACAGTCTACTTCTATAATTTCCTTGCTACTTTGTTGCTGATATTAAGGACTAAAAAAAAAAAACGCTTGTGCTAGTATTAAACGGATATGGACAGTAAGTAGCTTGTGATACAAAGAAGATATTTAACATACTTAAGATTTGATCCCACTGTATGTCCAAACTATGCTCTAATATGGTGTAGATAAGATACCTTTTATTCTGAGGCCAATGAAGGTTAAAAGCTGCTGAAAGCTCTGTCCCATGAGTATCCCTGACAGGAATTCCTGTTTACACTAAGAGTAGAAGGAATTGTTGAAACTGATTTTTTGTTGTTGTTGTTGTTGTAACCGGCAACTGCTTAAATTCTCAGATCTTAGTGCTCAACATTGTTGTGTGAGAAATATTGGTAGCTGTATTTAGTTGCCTGCATTTCATATCGAAAACAATAAAGCTCTTAATTTATTTATTTTTAACCCCAGAGTGCTGGACACACAAACAGACCTACTAGAAGCTAGTTGGGCCACAGAATACTTTACACTTTTCAAATCATGCTGGTTTTTCCAAGTATTTCATTTAGCTTAGGCTTCTACCTTTTAAAGTCTTCACAGAGACATGCACTAGTTTATTCCTTAGTAGAACAAAAACGGTTTTCTGTGTGCAGTAAAAAGATGTTCACAGTGGGGGTTTACATCCCTAATTAATTAAACAGAAGAGAGATCATTTTGTTGTGTTATGGTTGCAGTAAAGTTCTTCTGTAAGGAAGACATGTAGTTCTTGTTTTTTCCCTCAAATTCCTGTTTTTTAATCAGAAAATACAATATAAACATGTCAAATTACACTGAATGTCAGTTTAACAACTACTGTTTGAAATAATTTTAACCTCATTAAAATACAGAAAAAATATGCTTAAAAGAATTGCCATCAATGACTCTTCTGAGATCATTACAATAGGTTTGAACAAGAAAAACTGTACAGGAGTACTAAAAGTACTTCAAAGAATCATTAATTCTGTTAACTTCAGGAATCTGGATTTTATTCAAAGTGTGAAAGCTTGGTCAGAGAGAGTTGAAAAAGAGTTACATGAGCTGTCTCTAATTCATGTTGATATTTCTGAGTTACTGTAGTCACAGGTCAACTTTTTCTGTAACCATCTTATATGTTGTTCTCACCAAGCGCAAAAAATTCAGTGTATTTCCGAATCGCTTCAACTATTTTAACTAGTTTCAACTCATTTTGTTAGGGCTTTCTTCTTCTGCCTTAGAAATTGTCTGTTTTGTGTGACATTACAAATCAATGTGGCTGCCTAAAAATCTAGGAAAAAAATGGTTCTAAACTAGGAATACAGGTATTGTCCTGACAATGGAATAACAGTTTTCCATTCTAAGTATAATTTACCGCTTTGGAAAACAGTGTATTCTGAGTACTAATGATGACATTGATAGCAACTCTTCTTGTGGTCTGTAAAGTATTTGGAACTAAATTTTTAAAGTCTTTGATTCTGGAAGCCTTGGATGCCTAGTGATATTTAGAATCAACGTCAGAGGTTGCTCTTAACAAAGTCTTTCTAAATCATTGGTTTGTAGTATGGTATCATTTCTGCTTAGCAATAACTTTTCATTGTAGTAATTTTAAGACTCTGGCAAGGATTAACTTATGTTTGTGACATGCTCTGAACATGCGACATATTGTATGAACACTTAACAGCACTCCGCAAGTACTTGCATGACATGCCTATATTGTGAAAATATTTTTTCAAATGGATGAATAAATGTTGTGGGGAGGATTGTTCTGTTTCTTTCTTACCAATAATTCCTTTTAATTACTTGTTTTCCAGATAATGGAGGACAGACTTTGGCAGGTGGGAATAACTGGCCGCTGAGAGGAAGAAAATGGACCCTCTGGGAAGGAGGAGTGAGAGGAGTAGGCTTTGTTGCAAGTCCTTTACTGAAACAAAAGGGTGTAGAAAGTCATGAACTCATCCATATCTCTGACTGGCTGCCAACGCTGGTGCACCTTGCTGGAGGACATACCAACGGCACTAAGCCTTTGGATGGCTTTGATGTTTGGAAAGCTATCAGGTAACTTGCATGTCAAATCACTGAGTCAGCATTCTGGTATGAGAAGAATTTAATCAGTCTAGAGAACAGAGCTGGAACTGGGCGGGGGAGTATTGCGTGATCCTTTCCCTAAACAAAGGGAAGGTATAAGTGCAGTTAACTTTGCTACCCATGAGAGAATTATCCAGGTTGCAAATTAATCCTGGTCACAGATACAAAACCTCCATACAGCTTTAACTTCGTATGTTGAATTTATCGGTGTTGACACAGCAGTGCACAAACATGAAATACTTTTTCAAGAACATTCTGTGATCCAGAAGTACGTTAACTGATTTTGCACAGCACAGAGTACAAGTTAGTAAATTTTGTGGACCCAGCCCTGCTCTTTACAGAGCCCAGCTGGGTGTTTCTGCAGGATGCATCTGGAATTGAACATGTGGGAAATCTATGCAGGCATTAAACTCACTGAGCATGGATTCCACTTTGATGGTTTGTTAGCTTAGTACAGGACTTGTCAGGTGAGCTCAAAGTGTAACCATTTGAACAGGTCCGTATCATGCTGTCCGGTGTCTCAGAAAGCCTGTGAGGTTGAGTACAAAAATACACCTGACTTGGTTCCTAAGAGGTCATGGTGTTGTGCCTGGTTTAAGGAAGCTGGAGCACTCAGGAGTGCAGTGCAGACATGCTTAGATGGCTGGAAAAAAGAGGCAGCTTAGCTCCAGTTGAGTTGGCACTGAGACCAAGCTAATGACTTTTACTGGGCTGTCTCTGACTCTGTGCACCTCTCATGCTGTCTGGATTAACTGGGATATGCCAAACCCCATTAGTTCAGATAATGGAGAGTCTCCGTGCATTAAAAGAAAAATGAGTTAAATCCCATATATTTTTCCTCTGGAAAAGAGCAATAAAAATGGTATCACAAATGCTGGACACTGGGGGCTCTGGGAACATCTGAATATGTGCTTATTACTGCTGCTTTGGGCTCAGCAGAGTAAGTAGAACAGAATGTAAAAGAATAAATTAAATAGGCATTAACCAGTAAAGGTGATTTTTTTAACTGGAACAAGCAAAAGAAACGCTGGCATTGCCCTTTTGTGATATCTTCAATCAAAACTTAGTCAGTCCTTCATCATTCAAAGTTTTTCTTTTATTCTGATATTCTTTTATTCTACTAAAATGGATTACAAAGTCCTTAAGACCTGAGTTTCTGCAGAATTTTAAACTTCTGTGACCAACCCTTAGTTTTGTAAAAATTGCATGGTGACATTGGTTTAAATTCCTTTGTTTTTCCCTCTTCTGTGCTGCATGTAATGTATTCATTGTTGGGGCTAAATCCTATTGTCTGTGTTCTTAGAAGTTATATTTATTTTAGTTGGTCTTTGAATATAGTTTTAATTCGCATAAGAATCATTTAGGATGGAAAGTTTAATACTGCTAAAGCAGAATAAAGGACTAGCTATTCTATTTCCTACATGCCGTTCATCTGAGAATTAGTGTTTTGTTTCTTTTGATAATCTTTGTTCTGTTTTTATACCAGTCAGACAATATTATATTATGTGTATTATAACCTTTTGTCCCCTTCTCAGAGACAGCTTGCAGGAAAAATGTAGCTATTTTTTGCAATTTTCTACATAGTGCATTGCAATAAACACTGATTTTTGTGTGTCCTAGACTGTGAATTACAGGAGTTAGCTTCTAAACAAGCATGAGTAGCAAGTGTTTGGGTTAGGGATTGAGATGAGAAATTGAGAGTTAGAGCAGGCAGACTTGAACCCATCTACCTGTCCCTGGTTAGCCCTATATAGACCTTGAAGTAAAAAAAACCAAAAAACCAAAAGAAAACCAAAAAAACAAACACAAACCCAAAATAACAAAAAAACCCCATATCTTGAGTTCAGAATTGTTCTGTTTGTACCTTTGTAGGGTTACCTGTTTTGAAACTGCTAAGCTTGATTTCTTTCTTAGCGCTGCCTCTGTTTCTGAGGAGCTGTGGGGTAGTTTTTTGTACTAGCTGGAGTTTGCAGAGAGCTCATGGCCTCGTGCCCAGGTGTACTGTATGGCTCTCTTCCAAGTGGAAGAAGATAAGGATGTGTATAATTGAGGCCAGGGACCATTAACTGCCAGGAAGGAATGGAGACTCCTGTTCAGCCAGAGACAGTAAAATGTTTTACATGCCAATGTTACTGTGGGAAAACTTAGCATCAGCAAGATCCTGGGGTACTCCTAAACCACAGACTTTTCTTCCAGCTACTAGCAGAATTCCTGCCTAATTAAGGTTCAATTTCAACCAGGTATTCTTTGTCACGGACTGATCTTCTCAGATCAGTTACTTCAGTGGGAAAATTATATGTGGGGAAGGATAGGTACCGCTGTGCATCCCCTGCATGCTCCTGGCACTTGAATCTTACCTCTTCATGGAGGAACTGAATGCAATGTTTACTGGTGCTGCTAGGGAATAGGTGACCTCCAATATTTTCGGTAGTGCCAATCGGAGGGCCTGTATCCAGAGCGGGGGAAAAAAGTCAGTTTTTGTGAACTGTTAGGGCTGCTCTTTGGCTGACCTTGCAGCCGAAATGTCAAATTTCACATGATTTTCCCATGTAATCAGGAGAAATGAGTGTATTAAATTTAATGATCATAACTCAAAAGGTCACTTGAATATTGGACAGCAAACAATGAAGGCACAGTGCCCTTTTGGTGACGTGTGATGGAAAGTTCAAATATGTTGCTCATAATAAGTGAAATTAAATTTTGCTATGATCCTACCTCATTTGAAAAAAGTAAATCAATAGCCAATCACTGTGTTACATCTGTATTTTTTTCAGCCCAGTATAATACAAGTAGCTGCATATGGTTCTTGTGGGTTTGGTTTGGGTTTTTTTTTTGCTGGACTTCAATCCTGAGTCTACGGGTCCATATGTGTGTAACCAGAGGGAAAAAGGTTATAAATTTGGAACTTTGATTTAGATATTCAAAAGAACCTATGAGACAATGCAGGTACTCTCAGAAGTCATAAAAATATTGGATCCATTCCAGTATCTGTCTGATCTCTGTCTAAAAATGATCGGTTTTCAAAGGATGTGTTCTTAATATGATATTTATATAATAAATAGAAATTTTTTTTAAAATAACTACATATAAATATATAAATTTTTAATATAGATCATGGTATAAATAATTAGATATAAATTTTGAAATCCTAAATATAAATTCTGAAATCCTAGACCAAATGAACTTTTTGTAATGACTTTAAGATGATTTGTGGTCCAAATTAGGAATTGCATTAACATGACACTGACTAATATTAAGTTCTTGTAGGAAATAGAAGTGCTGAAAACTACATGTCTACACATGGTTCGTTTCATGCCTCCTATAGTTAATTTTGACTTGAAGAACCAGAAGAAAGTTAATGGTTAGGAGGTCCAGGGACGGCAGCTATGAAGTCCTTCTAACATCTTTTGTGTTTTTCTTACGTTGGTGACTATGCACACATTCTGGTTGTCTTTTTGTACCCTTTTGGTGCTGCTTCTCTGTCCTGTCCCACCTCTGTGAGTCACCAGGTGCCATCACTCTTTTGTCTCCCCACGTCCCTGTCCTGTGAAACTGGCCTAGAAGTGTGGGGGTCTTGCTGACCTGCTAATCTTGGTGTCGTTAGCACAGGCCGTTATGAGAGCCCTTTCTCTGCTGTGTGTTCGTGCTGTTGTCTCCGCACGCAGATCTTCGCAGTCTTTCTCTGTTCATACCAGTCTTGGCCTTTCTGCAACAGTTTTCTACAGTAAAATATAGTAGGCCACCAAAAAAAACTTTCTCATCCAAAATTTTGTAGCAGTGTATCTTTAGACCAGTAGTTCCTAAACTTTATTTTCCTCCAAGTACCTTTGGAATTAGATTTAACTTTCCCTTTAATGTCCCTAATGTCTTTTCGAAAATAACTTAGGAGAGGGTCACTGTACCAACCCATTTTTGGATATCCATCAGACCATTCCAATCTCAGGTATAAACCTTCTACATAAATCATAGTAGATTGCACTTTTCTAATACCTTAGATTACCATGGATAACACTACAATATAGCTGGAACCTCTAAAACCATGTACATATTAGTAATTATATCTAAAAATACAGGATAATATCACTAATATATTTTACAAAAATAGTAACTGACAATACCAAGAAAAATCAATGGAAAACAACACTAAAATGCAACTAGTCAAGGAATCTAAACCATACTGCATGTTTCCAAGCAAGTATCTCAAAAGGCACTTGCATTTCTAAGAAACATCTGTTCTCCAGATGCTTGCTACTCTATTGAAGTAGAGACACTTCAATTTTACTTATGTAGAAATTTGCCCTGATTGATACATTGTTTTGATATATTTTGGTTTTCAGTACTGAATATCTAGTACGTCTGTGGTCAGAAAAAAGATTTCATTTTGCATTAGCAGGAAAATGGAAAACCAAATGGTAGAGCACATGAAGCAGAATGATAGGCACTGAGAGATTTCACTTTATCACTGAGTGGATAAAATGCAGTCAAAATACTAATATTTGTTCAAAGCTTGTTAGCAAGCATAGGTTTTCAAGATTTACTCATACATTTTGCAGGGCAAGTTTCAGTTTTATATTTTCGTAATGTTGGAAATATCAGAATTGACTAGATGAAGGAAGTGAAGCAAGATCAACTTGAATTCTTGTGTACCAAATTGTTACATTCATTTTAGGAGTTAAACGCCTGTTTGAAAAAAAAAAATTCATTGTTTGGTATAACTTCATGCTGAAGAAAGAGCAATGTAAAGCTGAGAGTAATATTTACTTCCAGCATATCTGAAATATAATTATTTTAGGAAAGCATGTACAGATATGACACAGAAGAAATACAATATATGGCAAGGTTTTAAAGGCTTAGATTTTGCTGAGTGACACTGAGGATGTTTTTGTGCAAGATAAACATATTTACCCTGAAAAACCTTGGATTCCTTCCCAAGGACACCTTCTGCCTGCTTAACAACAACAACAACAAAAGTGAAAGATCGCATGTAGAGTTTGTTCACATTCACTAAGGAGTAATAGATCTTTCTGTATGTTTTAAAAAATCTGCAAAGCAGAAGATAGAGCGATGTTCTCAGCATAAACTAGCTGATTCTTATGCCAACTCTGAAGTTAGTCCATATGTTTTCATAAAGATGTTTTTACATAGAGGACTTTTTTGGAAAACAATACCTTTTAACTGCTTAATTAAATAGTCAGTCAGACATGGTAGAATAATAACCAGACAAAAGAAAAAGTTCCTTACTTTTAGGGAGAGAAGCAATATATTAGAATATTGGAGTCTAAAAATAAATACTCTAGAATTAGAGCATTGTAAGATATGGTTACATTAGAAGCTACTAAAATACAAAGGCAGGATTCTGTAGAGAATCTTACTGCTTTCTTATTCCAGCTCTGTTGGCTAGACTACATTCCTAACGCAAAATATCCTTGGCAGAACACCTGCAAAGGTGAATGTGTTGTTGAGGCTGTGTCTTTTGAGGGGACTAAGGTCAGCATGGAGCTCTATAAATGGGAAGGGGGACAGAGTTTAGGCACAGGGAAAGGGAACTCTGCTACAAGTGTAAATTCTCTACTTCTTGTCCCCAGGACAGTTGCTTCTGTCTTCCTGATGTCCATTCCTGGCAGCCAGCCGCTTTCTTCAACATACAAAGCCGTCTTCTTTTCTCTGGCTATTGTTTTGTGAATAGTATATGCTGGTTATAAACCTCCATTTTGTGTGCAACAGAATTACCAGAATAACACCCAAACTGTAAGGAGCTTACAGTGAAGCTCCTTAACAAAAAGAAAACAATTTAAGTTATTTGGAAGTTTCTAAAAAGATGTGTTTAGGTTCACTGTCAAATAATACAATATCGTTGTGTGGTGATGTAGCCAAGGTTCTTTCTAATTATGTCTTCCTACTCATGTTGGCCTTTATAAAGAGTAAATTTCTTTTACTCCGTTTTTTAGGACTGGGATTTACTTAACTCAGAAAATTTATGGTAAGTTCGGAGGCTCATTCCACACTATTCCTATATAGTCAATGGCTAGAAAAAGAGGGATGATTTTTTTTTTTTCCACAGGAAGGTTCAGAGTATCTAAATAATCCTTGCGACCTCAATTACAAATCGAAGGTAGGTTTTTTGAGGGGTAGCCAATGCCTCTACTGTTTTTTGAGGCACCCAGCCAAAACACTTTCAGCACTCGTTCAGGTATGCAGAGAGCATAGCAAGTGCCGTGCCAGCTTACGCTGCAAAATCTGATTTTTAAAGTTGATTATTGTAAAACCCTGCTTTGGTAGGGCCAATTCTGTACTCTGTAAACTTGTGAATAATCCCAGTGAACACCAGTGAAGTCAGGGAAGGCTGATAGTGGCAAAAGCTGTTGCTACTAGGCTGGAAAAGAGCATTCAGATTAAAATAAAACATGCAGAATCCTAATGAGCTGTGGAAGGAAATTAACATTTCCTTTTGAAATCTCTCCTAGTGAAGGAAGACCTTCCCCCAGAGTGGAACTGCTGCATAACATAGACCCCATGTTTGTGGATGACTTCCCATGTGAGTATGCTATTGATAGTTCGAGAGTTATTAAACATACAGTTTATCTTCTGAACACTCCTTGTTTTCCTTAAGTGAAGTATTTCCTGCTACATGAAACAAAATAGAGTAGGATGTGTTCTGCTTTTAAGTAAATAGCTTTAAAATACAGAGACATCATCCCCCGAGTGCTGTAAGTACTTACTGGGTCATGCCAACGCGCGCTTCCTATTTCAGAGAGCTCTGAAGCACTGCTGAGTAATGAATAAAATCCTTTGGGACGTGCAAATGTTGAGGAACAGCCATGTGCCTGAGGTGCACAGGGAGGCACACTGCCAAAAAACCCTACCAAACTCTGTCTTCAGTGCTCCAGGTTGGCAGGTGGCTCCCAATGAACTGCTCGCCCTAGCACATCTTGATATGTCTGTATAATATGACCTTGCAAATGGAAAACTTGAGTTTGTGAGAAGCTGAGAAGTTCCAAGCCTTGTGATTGCTTTTGTTCCACAATCACATGGGTTGAATCTTAATGCCATGATCACAGGAGTTGGAGCTTAAGTTTGCCAATTCTATAGCTCTTTAAGCACCGTCTGTTTTATGATTCAACTTTATTAGTTTGCTAAGGACTACAAACTTTTCAAGCGGTGATTTTTTTCATGCAGAACATTGGAACAGGTCCTTTCCAGTGTTTTTATAGCATTTCTATATTTCATTAAATAAAGAAGTAAATCCAGGCAGAGGAAAAGTAGTGCAGTGGGGACAATGATATGTTGCCTGCAAGATAGATACACGTTGTGCTGTAGTAACTGGATGGAAAGGGGTAAGGTGGCCGCCTGCAATGCACATCTGGTTCTGTGATGTTTTTCTCAGAAGGAGCAACACTGTGCCTATCTAGTGCTGGCTGGACAGCACTGCCTGCAGATAATTCCTACGTACTGATGGAATTAAGGTGTAGGTACTCCAATTTCCCTTCAAAGGATGCTCAGTGAGTTGTAGCGCTCCTGTACTATGTTATGCCCTGAACGTGGTATTCTCAGGCATACTTGAGAGACCATCTTTTCCTTATGGGAGCTGCCGTGATTGAGCTCAGCGGAGATGTTTGAGTAGACAAATTCCTGGTCTAAATAGAAGGCGGACGAGCAGAGGAGGTTTTCAGGAGCCTAAGCTCAGGAAATACTTCCCCGTATTGTTTCCATGATGCCGTACTCTGATGATACTTCACTGATTGCTACGTACAGCGTGTCCTTACTTTTTGTGTGCATTGCGTGAGATGTGGGCAGGGAGCAGGGCAGGTGGGCAGAAGCTGTAGTGAGTGGAACTTTTATGCTGGATGAGATGTGACTTTTAAGCATCACTTGGCAAGTTACTTTGTGCCACCTGTTTTACTTTCTCCCTTAATAGCACGTTTGGTCAGGAACAGGTAGAGTTGACCTCCAAATTAGTATACCTTACATTTTTCCTATTTTTGATTTTATTATACCATTCTTAAAGGATTTGAGAGTATGTAATTGTATTTCTGATAGGTTTGACAAGATGTATCACTGTTATACATGACAAAATATACATTAAACTGTACTTTTTCAGATGACTGTTCTTTTAATTAATGTACTGTTTCTAATGCAACAGAGCATGTTAATTTATAGTCCACTGTTGGGGACAAGGAATCCAACTTTCTTTGTACTTCATCTATTGTCATGTGCTCAATGTTCTCAATTTCTTATAAGTTAACTGGAAGTTGGAATGGGTTTGTGCTTTGCAGGATGAGTCATTGTATTATTTATGATTCTGTTTTTGACCCAGCTAGTGAAGTTATGCTTTGTCATATAAGGATTAAAAGTTCTATTTAGCAATCTGAGTTACTAAGAGTAACTGTATATGTATATAACTCAACCGGTTTCTACTTACTGTCTGTTTTCATTTGTGCAAAATGAGAAATAAGTTTGGAATTAAGATCTAGATAAATGAGATTGATGTCTCTATTATGGATAGATTTGGGAGACACAAAGCTTGGAATATATAAGTACTTTCATATTTTCAAAAATCATGGCTCTCTTTGTGTTTTAAAGAAAGAAGTATCTTAAAATAAACTGCCCATACAATCTTCCTATCACCAAGGTGATAAACTGTGTGTCACTCTGGAGTCTTGCTCTCTCCTTGACTGTTTATTGTTTACTTGTCCTTAAGGTTTTGAGATCAGAGTACTCTTTTGCCTACGGTGCTAAAATATATGCATGTATGTTTTGCGGGGTTCTTTCTCACCTCCTGTGTAGTCTTTGGCCTTCTTTATGGCCACCTTGCTCTTCTCCTAATCCACTTAAAAAATCACATCACCTAAATCATCTCGTGTCAGATGAAGTACTGATATTATACTAATACTTTCTTTTTTGTAGAACTTGAATTAGGAAGTAAAATAATGACTGGAAGATACAGATTAGACAAATCTTTGGTTTGCAGAGTACTGTGGAAGAGCAAAGAGGAAATTAAATCTCAAGACACTATTAAACACAATCAAAAAATCTTTCAGGATGTTGTGGATTATCAGGCGAGTTCTCATCATGGTATTGTTAAGGAAGACACTGTACAGCGGTGTTGTTGTGCACACATAGGGCATTAAGTTATTGTTGTACTTGCACTCCGTGCAGGTTCAGTGCTCCTGAACTCTTGAGTGCTTTTGCATATAATGTATACATTCTTTCAGCATAATATTTTTATTTAATGGATGCGTTTATCTTCATCTCTGTCTGAATAAACTGATAGTATTTTTAGTAGCATGAATAATGGGATGTCTTATGTAATTCATTGATTTTTTTTGACTGAAATAGGAAAATTGAGCTTTGTTCTGTTCAGATTTTTTACACCAAAGTAAGCATTCCTTCAGGGAAGAATTTGTGCAAAAGATGTAATTAATTTAGTGTCAACTCAACTGTTACAGCCAAGCATTCAACAGAATGTTAAGTTAAAGGTAGGACATGCTATCTTGATTACAGAGCTAACTACATCTTCGCTGCTGTGGTCTGTTAAACTTACCTTGACCTGTGTGTTTACCACTTGCGGGGTAACATCATACAACTTTTCAAGTTCTCAGACTGAGCAGTGGTTTCTAACCTCTGGGCATCAGCCAGGGTTACTCCAGCAGATCTGATGAATCTACTGATCAGCATCTACCTACCTTTTTTCAGGAGCTCATGTCCAGTGGTAAATACTATAGCCCTACACTAGTCTTGTATCAAAGTACTGTAGTTCTCTCCTGTTGTTAATAGTAAACAGCATAAGAGGGAAAACACTATAAACTAGTTTGTCTGCAGTTCCGTTTTACAAAAAAATGCTGACAGGTCTTATTTCACTGACTCTTTCAAGTAATCGTCTTCTCTCTCAGAGGGCAGACGTTCTTCATTCAAGTATAAACCTTTCCAGTGATCTGAAACATGTTGCAATGTTTTAAACTGTAATTCCTCACTTGTCGTCTTCAGCGCTAATAAAGATGTTCCTGTCCCTGACCACAGACTTTGCCCACAGGCTCCCTCTGACCTGTGGCAGCCCAGTGGAGTGGTTGGGGTTAAAAACAATCTTGTCTCTCAGTGAACTTATTTGGTGTGCAATTCAGGCCTACAACAATTGTGGTGGTGTAACGGAGGAGGCGGTGGAGTGAAAAACTAAGGTGGGATCTCCAAAAACTAGGATGAGGAGGGGATGGGGTTGTGGTCTTTGCAGCAAAGCCACTCTGGTGGTGAGCTATTGCCAAGATGGCCAGCCCGTCCTCTCCCTTTCTCCCATCCTTTCCTCCTTCCCTTGGGTTGGATCTGGAAATCACATGGCGACAAGATGAGTCTTCTGCCAGATCAGCCTTCAGACTATCCTGGGTGGCGGGGGGAAAGAGGAGGAAAGGTTTCTACCACATCAGCCGACTGAATCAACTTGCCCTGTAGCTGTATGACTGGGAGCCCGGGGGAGTGTGAGGTTGGTGGCAGATAGTGTTTGGTGAAAGAAGGAGGTATGAGCCACAGGAACGGCAGCTAGATCATCGCAGGCCACCAGGGAGCCTCAGCCAGCAGCAGTAGTTTCATGGAGTTAAAGCTAGTGTAGGTCACTGCTGCTACCAAAGAGGAAATCCTGCCTTCCACAGTGCCTCACCATTGCTCCCCTCTCTCGCGGGTCACCAAAACCACTCACAGAGCCAGGCTATGAACTAGGTCAGAATATTGGTTCAGATTTTAATAACCCTTTTGGTTTTTTCTTCGGATGTATCTTGGGTATGTAGCCATTTTGGCACACAGGATGGGACTAGAAGGAATTTCAGGGGACAGGTGAGATTGATTCTGTTGGCTCTGAAATTAAACCCTGAGGTTTCTGTTTCATAAAATGTGATTAAGTGATCCAGCAGGTTTCTGCTGGGGATGTGCTTGGCTTCCTCCCCTTCCCAATCCCAGCCGCGTGCTCCCGATGCTTATTTTGCATCCATTCCAGCACTCCTCGGATACCTCCATGGACCGATCCAACTTGCTAACCTGGTTTTCCTCTGTCAGGTAGGTTGAATCTGCTCATTGAAGGGGCTGATGGCTGCCAGAGGCAGCGCAAGGCGGGGGCGAGGAGGGCTGTGCGGTTGGAAGTGGGGAGGCAGAGGGAGAGCCAACCCTCCTAGCACTGTCTGGCTGCTCCTGGAGCCAGAGCCCCAGGGTGAAGGAGTGGGGAACCGCACCTGCTGGTGGGACCTCGCTGCGCTAAACCTGCCTGGTGAGCTCTGCAGATGGAGCTGGACCCAGGCACCTCAGAGGTGGTTGCTCTTCTCCCTCCTTCTAAAAGCCATCACTTTTGTCTTTCTGGTTGTTTCTTCATCACCCTGTTGATTATTTTCAAAAGTGATGAATGTATGTCTCAATCGTTGGGTCTCAGTGTAGATTTGTGATTTATTAGAGAGTTTGCAATTATGTAAAAGCAGGACATCGGTATGAAAGATCTACTATCTTCCAGGTTTGGGTCTGAAAATTCACATTTTCTGTTGGTTTTAAGAGTTTGCTAATAAA